TGCAAAATCAGTTTGACTGGAGTGTTTTTCAGGAAGTGTGTTCTTGAGTTGATTTGTAGCCAGGGTGGTGTGAGCAAGGCTAGGCTGTAGGAGGTGGGGTGGGGAAGGGGGTTGTGGGTAGAGAGATGGCCATGGATGCCTCTGTGGGAATGTGGTGACTCAGATGGGAGACACCACATGACACATCTCCCCGGAGCAATCTATGCTGTCAGGCATAAGACTGTTGGACCGTTTGGTTCAGTGATTCCACTTCGGCAATTATTCATTAAGAAATCTTATTAAGAAATAGTACCAGAGAGGAAAAGGGCTGAATTCTTCTGTTACAGGCATTAAGATACTTCCTGTTGTGTCATCTGTAGTAGTAGAAATGGGAAACAATTGTTCCCTTTGGACACCTAGGTTAAGTAAATGACAGTTTTCCACTTGGTGGAATAGTTAGTACACAGCCATTATAATAATGAGCACAGAGGCTATATAACAACTTGGAAAGATAGTGATGGCAAGTGAAAATGGCAGGTTGGAGAATAAGTATATTACGGTGACTTGTAAAATACACACATAGGAAAATACTGCAAGGGAGAAATGATCATCGCTGCTAGTTTGGAATTATGAATGCTTTTTTTTTTCTTTATTAGAAATGAGGTCTCACTATGTTGCCCAGGGTGGTCTCAAACTCCTGGGCTCAAGCAGTCCTTCTGCCTCAGCCTCCCAAAATGCTGGCATTACAGGCGTGAGCCACCATACCCAGCCTATGAATGCTTTTTCTATGATGCACATATTGGCTTTTTAAAAAATAAATTTTAATTTGGATGACTATACAACATACCATTAATAGTGACTTTCTCTAAGATGTATTTGCTTTCTCTTTTTTTTTCTGTCATCAGGATGGAGTACAATCTCAGCTTACTGCAACCTCCACCTCCTGGCTTCAAGAGGTTCTCCTGCCTCAGCCTCCCAAGTTGTTCACCCAAACCCTGCTTGTGAAGCTGTCCATTGCTCTCCAAACTCTGTCCTCCAGCATTCAGTCTTGCTCACTCTCCTCCTCTTCAATCCACCCTGAATTTCTGTTCCTGGGCTGTACTATCTTCATGTCACAGGCCTCAGGACAGTTTTGTGCCTCAGGACAGGCACATGCCACCATGCCCAGCTAATTTTTGTATTTTTAGTAGAGACAGGGTTTCACCATGTTGGCCAGGCTGGTCTTGAATTCCTGACCTCGTGATCTGCCTCAGCCTCCCAAAGTATGGGGATTACAGGTGTGAGCCACCATGCCCCGCCTGGAACTTTTGCTTTCTATGTCATTCTGTGATGTTTAAATTTCAGCTGTGAGCACATGTTACTTTTATACTGAGAAAAAAATTTTAAATGCTAAAATTAAACATTTTAGATGGCTGTATTTCTCAAGAAAGGAGGGAGGAGAAGCTGAGGCAGCTAGCTGCTTATACCGGCCCTCATCAGTGTTTAAGGGCCTGAGCCTGTTTGGGCCCATTCATCCATCCATTCATTCCAGAAGTATTACTAGATATTATTGCCAGGCACCACTCTAGGCACTGATTACACAGCAGTGAACAAGACAGTGCCCCTGCCCTTATGAAGCCTGCCTTCTAGTTGAGGAGAGACAGATCATCATTAAGTAGCAACATATCAGAAAGTGAAAGTGCTATGTAGAAAATAAAATGAAATGATGTGAGTGACAAAGAGGCTATTTTGGGTTGTGGAATCAAACGTCCCTGAGATGTAACAGCTGAGCTGAGACCTGAATGGTAACAGAGGGGCAGCCACGTGCAGGTCTGGGATGCCAGCCTGCCAGCCCCCTGTGCAGGACATCCTTTGCTTCCTGAGCCCCAGGGACCTCTGTGCCAGAACTGACTCCAGATCCCAACCTCACTCATCCTGCTCTGCCTCCTGCTGGGCTTTGCTTGGTATCTGAGGCCCCCTAAAATCCTCTGTGTGGACTGTTGCTCCTGACACTCTAGCTGTTGCACCTTTGGGTAGCAGGCCCCTACTCTTGGCTGGTGTCTCCATGGCAGGGCTGGGCCATCTGAGACTCCCAGGAACACTGGGGTGGGCTAGCAGTCAGGGGGCCTCTGGGTTGTGTATGTCCTGGTGAGGCCTGAGGGTTGGTTGCTGTCATGGTCCTGTGACTGTCAGCTTTGACCTGGAGGGCCTCTGTGTGGATCCTGAGGAACAGGGTGGGAGCCTTTGGGAGCTCTGACACCCAGTTGGGAAGTTGTTAATGATCCACCTAGAAGCTCACAACCTTCTCCTTGCTTCCTGTTGTCTCTCCACATACCATCCCAGCCTTCCAGAAGCAGAAACTCAGAAAATTGTAGTGCCTCAGAGGAGCCTGTAGTCAGCCTCAGGGGAAGTGCAGTGTGCTGATTAGGTGCGAAGACTCAAGTCAGATTTGTGGGGTTTGAATCCCAGCCTTGCCTTTTATAGTTATAAGAATGTAGGCTTAGGCCGGGCGCGGTGGCTGATGCCTGTAATCCTAGCACTTTGGGAGGCTGAGGTGGGTGGATCACCTGAGGTCAGGAGTTCAAGACCAGCCTGCCATCATAGTGAAACCCCATCTTTAAAAAAAAAAAAAGAATGTAGGCTTGGCCAGAATGATGGCTTATGCCTGTAATACCAGCACTTTGGGAGGCTGAAGCAGGAGACTCACTTGAACCTGGGTGGCAGAGGTTGCAATGAGCCAAGATCATGCCACTGCACTCCAGTCGGGACAACAGAGCAAGACTCCATCAAAAAAAAAAACAAAAGAATATAGGCTCTTTCTGCCTCACTTTCCCCATCTGCAAAATGAGCTTGAGGATTTTTTGAGTTAATATGTGGAAATACTGAGAAGAGCACGTGGTTATTATTATTATTGTGGCTTGGGAGGTGGAGGGAGGACTCCATCAAGGCCTGCAGTGTCACTGATCCCTGGGGCTTTCCTGGGGGGTGCCCACAGCACGAGAGTGGAATTCTGTGGCATTTGCAAGAGCCAGTGGCTACAGGAGTTTCCCTCCACTTGCTTCCCTTGTGGCCCTGAGCAAGCCCTATTTTCCTCCCTGCTAACTTCATGACCATAGGAGATGTTCAGGGAGGTTTCTGCCCTTTCCTTATTGAAGCCACTCACCTTCAGCACAGTGGCACCCAGGGACTCCCGAAGCTGTCTGCCACTGTCTTGTCCTCAGGGTCCTCCTAGAAGGGCTGTGGGTCTTCCTAGAACATGGAACTGTAGTGACAGGGGTCCCTGGGGATAGGGAGTGAGGCTTGGGAAGTGAGTGGGGTGAAAGCGGAAGGCCTGCCCAGGTGGGTTGCCTGGGAGGGGAATCCTGATTTCCTGGCAAGATGCTTCTCTGGACAGAAATTCCCAGAGTCACTGTGTTGTGGCATCTTAGCCCCCAGAAACAAGATGGGGGTTTGTGACAAAACCAAGGGCAGTCATTCCATCTGGTTTTGCCTTCAGCCTGTCTTAGACTTTTTTTCTTTCTTTTTTTTTAAATTGTACTTTGGGCTCTGGGATATATGTGCACATCCTGCATTCTGCAGGATTGTTGCATAGGTACATACATGCCATGGTGGTTTACTGTCTCCATCCCCCTGCCACATCATGCTACCTGACTTCAAACTATACTACAAGGCTACAATAATCAAAACAGCATGGTACTGGTACCAAAACATCCTGTCTTAGACTTTTATAGCAGTCTCTTTACCCCCTCTCAACTGCTGGTGGTGTCCACTGCCACCCTATGGAACAGCTCAGCAGGCTCGGAGGGCAGCCGGTGAGATGCTCTTAGCAAGCAAGGCTCTGAAAGCCAGCTCCTCCTCTGCATTACCTGTTCCCTTGGAGGGGTAGTTCTCGGATCTCACAAGTCACCTTGAGTCCTGGCCCTTCACTGGGACTGTGTTTGCCCAGGCCCTTTCATCAGGTATGAGGACTCCTGGATTTGAGTGTTGTTTACCCAAACCCTGCTTGTGAAGGTTTCCATTGCTCTCCAAACTCTGTCCTCCAGCATTCAGTCTTGCTCACACTCTCCTCCTCTTCAATCCACCCTGGATTTCTTTCTTTCTTTTTTTTTTTTAAAGGTGGGGTTTCACCATGATGGTCAGGCTGGTTTTGAACTCCTGGCCTCAGGTGATCCACCCACCTCAGCCTCCCAAAGTGCTAGGCCACTGCGCCCGGCCAATCCACCCTGAATTTCTGTTCCTGGGCTGTCCTATCTTCATGTCACAGGCCTCAGGACAGTTTTGTTTGTCACCAAGAGAAACAGGCCAAGGTGCACTGAGCTGCTGGTTCTTCCTGCTGCAGGCTTTCCCAGGGTTCTGATCCCAGAGCTGAGCAAGGAGCTAGTGGAAAGGGCCCAGGGGTACAGGGAGTCAGGTGGGCGGAGGCTGGGGCAGGGAATAGGGGCCTGTCAGGCCCTGGATGTGGTAGGTGAGCCTGTCCTAGCTCAAAGTTAAGCACAGCTCCTGTGCTGACTAGAAATGGGTTTGGAGAGTGGGGTTCTGAAAATGCATCCGAGTCAATGCCCAGTCGCTAAAAGTATCATCTCCCCCACCACACTGGGAGCTGCCACGTCAACTGATGACACCGTTTCCTATTCCTTTCTCTTCAACCCCATCTTCTGCCCCAAGCCAGGTCTTTCATTTACCCTGTTGGTCTTACATGGACCCGCTCTGTTCTCCTAGCTCCACCATCGGACACTGACCTTGCTGTGGTGTGTAGATAGGCCCTCAGCCCGCTATCTACTACCCATGGGCTTCCTGCTGCCCAGAAACAGAATCTGGGCCTGGGGCACACTCTGTTTCTTTCTCCCCCATCTCACTTCTTTATATTTCTTTCTTTTTTTTAAGAGACAGGGTCTTGCTCATTGTCCATGCTGGAGTGCAGTGGTGCAATCGTAGTCCACTGCAGCATTGAATTCTTGAGTTCAATGAATCCTCCTGCCTTCGAATCTGGGACTACAGGCACACACATCAAACCAGGTTGCTTTTTTTTTTTTTTTTTTTCTAGAGATGGGGGGCTCACTATGTCACCCAGGCTGGTCTTGAACTCCTGGCCTCAAGCTATTCTCCCACCTTGGCCTCTGAAGATGCTGGGACTACAGGCATGAACTCCATCCACTCTTCTGTTGAGCAACTTTCTGTCTCTCACCCTAGGTTTCTCTCTCCCTTTGACAGCTATCCCTTTCATCTTGCTTCTGCTCCAAGGGTTTTGGGGTCTAATTCTCCCAAGTTACCTGCTGGGGTTGGGGAAGAGACTGGACCTTCCCATCTGTTACCAGCTGGGAAACCATTCTGGGCTGTCCCAGAGAGATCAGAGGCAAGAAGAGCAAGGTTTAAAGTCAGCCTCAAGGCTAAGGGGCTGGCCTGAGTGATGAGATCCATATGGTCATGTCAGGCTGCTGCAGGAGAGCCCCTGTAAGTGAGGTTCCCCTTCCTTCAGCCTGGGCCCTGGGGGGCTGGGAGAGCCAGGGGTGTATATGCAAGTCATGGGGCCTGAGTCAGGGCAGGAGGTTCGGCCATCTCTGCATCCCTGCACTGTGCCATCTGTCTCAGGCCCTCAGCCTGCCTCAGCCTGGAGCCTGGGTCTGTTCTCTCCTGCCTGGGGGTGGGAGGCATAAGATAAAATGAGGGGGTGACAGGCTGTGACTCTTTCAGTCTACCGTCTTTTCAAGCCTCCCCCTCAGGCTGGCCCTGAGACCCTTCCTCTTCCATTCATCCCTCAGTAGCCACAGGGAAGCTGGAGGCTCAGGTTCACTCTCTTGGGCTGTCTGTGGGAGTTTTGTTCTCCTGAGGGCCGTATGTGAGAGTATTGTTGCCACTGGATTTCTCTGCTCCCTAGCTTGGTGCTCAGGGTGGGGATGAAGACCTAACCTGCTGGACAGGAAGAGCTTTCCTAGAGACTGCCGAGAGCAGAGGCACAGCCACCCTGCATCAGGTAGGAGGCGGCATAAAAGCAGGAAGGGCTGTCTAGAAGCCTGGCTCTGTGCCAGAAATGACAGCTGCCCTTTCTGGAGCCTTGGCTGTGTTCCAAGTGTTGTATATGTACTGGCTCATTCATCCTCACAACAGCATTCTGTGGTCGTTACTTTCATTATCCTCACTTTACCTACAAGGACCCTGAGGCACAGGGTGGTCGAGTAACCTCCATTAGGTCCCACAGGTGGAAAGCATCAGCCAGGATTCCAACCCAGGCAGTTAGAATCATCTGGGGCCCCTGAGCTTAACCAGCTGGCCATATTCAGACCTGTGAGGTATGGTTTGTTGTTGGAAGACCCAGGAGGGAAGAACCTGCATTAATTTTGTGTGACTTCGGGTTTCTTCGGGTTCATTTGCTTAGCAAATTCACTGAACACCTTCTATATATGAGGTATGAACGCAGTGAATACATATTCACTTCACAAGCAATTTTAAGATGAAATTTTAGTTTTATAAAAGTTATACGTGCTTGTTAGGAAAAAAGAGTACGATGAAAAATATTCAAAAAATCATGATATCACCATCCAGAGATGATTGATTTTTTTGTGTGTATGTGCACATATGCATGGCTTTGCAGAATCGAAGTTAGGTTGAATATTCAGTTTTGAATCCTGCTTTTTTCTCTTACCACTTATTTAAAAAGCATTCCTCAGGAGGCTGCCGGTGCTGGCCTTCAGATGAATCCAGCAAAGCAGAGTGCTCACTGTCACCACAGAAAAGGGAGGGTGCAGAAGTCAACAGACAGCTCTGGAGTCAGGGTGCTTAGGAAAGTCCTCACACAGGAGGAGCTGGGTCTTAAAGGAGGATTATGGGTTCACCAGTCCTGAGAGGGGCCCAGGTAGCAAAAATAGCAAGGTGGAGATCTGGAGGACAGGATCGGAGGCAGGGACAAGTTGTCAAGGGCTTTGCCAGCTGTCCCTGGGGGTTTGAGCTTTATTTACCCTGTAGATGTAGAAGATCCATTCATAGGATTTAAGTGGCAAGAAACATTGGATTTGTACTTTAGAAAGGCTGCGTTTTTTCCTACACAGTCTCGTCCTGTGATGAGTGAATTACAAGGAAGAAGGCAAAGCTGGGAGACCTTTGGAGTCATCCAGGTGAGACATGATGAGTGCCTGAACCAGAGCAGTGGTAGCAATGAGAAGATGAATGATGAGGAGAGGATAGATCCCAAAGATATTTAAGAGGTAGAAAGGGTGGGTGTTAGTGGCTGACTTGGTGGCTTTCCCTTAGCCAGTGGGATGTCGGTGGGCATGCCTTAAACAGGGTCTTGAGTCACACTTGTGTAGCTGGGCTTGCTCACCTTTGTGCCTCTGCCCTTGCCATGAGAAGAATATGCCCAGGCAACTCCTTTGGGCCCCTGAGGAGGATGAGAGACAGGTGGAGTGGAGCTACATTGCCCCAGCCGTCTGCCAACCACAGACACATGAGCTGTAATAGTAGATGGTATTTGTTTTAGGCCAGGGTTTTGGGATGATTTGTTATGTGGCAACTGCTAACTAAGAAATGCCTTTATTCTTGTCTTGAATGCTTTCTGTGTGCTAGGCTTTGTGCCAGGCACTGAGAATACTGTGCTGAACCAGGCAGGCAAGACCCTCACTCTCAGGAACTCATGTTAGGGTGGGGATGTCGCAGAGGAAGCCAGAGTGACTTTGAGGCCTCTGGTTCTAACTGGGTGCATGGTGGTACCATTAATTGGGGTGGGGGTCTTAGGAGGGAAACAGGTTTTGGGGAAAAGATAATGGGTTTGATTTTATTTATTTTTTAGAGACAGGGTCTCACTGCATTGCCTAGGCTGGTCTCAAACTTAAGAGTTCTGGGCTTGAGTGATCCTCCTGCCTCTGTCTCCCAAAGTTCTAGGATTAAGGCATGAGCTACTACACCTGCCCATGAATTTGTGGGACATTAGTGGGAGCTGCCTAGGGAAGAGCAGTAGCTGTATGTGCAGCACACAGGAAAGAGGTCTAGCTGGGGACTGAAATTCTCAACATAATATAATGGAAGATAACCTGTACCAAAGGGAGTGAGACAGAGTAACTGCTGTAGAAATTCAGAGGAGGAAGAGAGGACTTGGGACCTGGGAGGATGAAAGAGATTTTGTTCTGAAGGTAATCTGTAAGCTGTTTTATACTCACGGAATTGAGAGGAGAAAGGCACACCCCACAGAATGAACAGGACCTGCAAAGGCATGGAGATGAAAGACAGAAGAGCTGGATTGTGAGGAAAAGGCTGAAGAGTCAATTGGGGTGAGCTCATGAAGAATCTTGAATGGCAGGCAAAGGATGCTGTTGTGTTTCATTAGGAAATAGGGAGCTATCGAGCATTTTTGAGCAGGGGAGTGGCATTCAGTACATATGTCTAAGAGATGGGCAGTCATGTGCAGTGGGGTAAGTTTTGAAGTAGAAATCAAGAGATATTGGTTCTAGCCTAAGTCATTTACTGGTCCTGGGATATGGGGCAAATGATGTTTGCTCTCTGAGCTCCAACTGTCTCACTCCAAAAAAATGGGAATAAAGTTATCTGACATTCATGTGAATCTTAATTATGTAAGAAACATGACAAAATATGAATGAAGTGCTTGGAAGACCAGACTGCAATGCACAAGGATGGGTAGGTATTAATGTGACTGGGACTGCTTCAGCTGAAATGTGAGGCTGGGATTCCCAGACAGGTGTCCATACTGCAGTTTCATGTCCTTAACCTCAGTCTCTTCTCCCACCTTGGAGAGGGGATGGACAGAGATGTGAAGCCTCTGGCAGCTGGCAGAGCTGGGATTTATGTTCTCAAGCCCTACCTTCCCATTCTTGATGCAGTCCTACGCCACCCTTTACATGACAGGACATGTCATTTAGAGAGGGCCTGCCCAGGAGAGGCCTGTGTCAAGGCCACAAAGCACCAGCCTGTGCAACAGTCACTGTCCTCAAGGAGTTCACAGGCTAGTTGGATCATGAGGGCATGTTCCTTAAAAAGCCATTGGGGTGGCACCTGATAATGGGCCAGATGAGTCGTGCAGACAGTTGCTGGTGGAGGGTGAGGAGAAAGTAGAGAGAAGCAGCATGGGAGCTGGGCCTTGAAGACTGGTGGGGTTTCAAAGAGGGGAAGGGAAGGGAGTCAGAAGGACAGGGGAGGACTCTTTCCTGTGTCAATCCATTGGTTTCCCCTCAACACTGAAACCAAACAAAACCCCATTTAATGGAGCAAAGACAAATGTGACCGCAATGAGAGAACCACCTCACACCCATTAGGATGGCCATTATAAAAACAAAACAGAAAATAACTAGTGTTTGGCGCGGATGTGGAGAAATTGGAAGCCTCGTGCATTGCTGATGGAGAATGTAAAATGGTTGTGGCCGCTGTGGAAAACAGCGCAGCGGTTCCTCAGAAAGTTAACTATAGAATTACCATAGGATCCAGCATTTCCACTTCTGGGTATGTGCTTGAAAGAGTTGAAAGCAGGGATTCAAACAGACCTTTATACACCCGTGTTCACAGCGGCCTTATTCACAGTAGCCCAAAGGTAGAAGCAAGCCAGGTGTTCATCAATGGATGAAAGGATAAACAAAATATGGTGATATATACAATGGAGTATGATTCAGCCTTTAAAAGGAAGGAAATGCTGACATGTGCTGCAACAGGGATGAAACTTAACGACGTCATGCTAAGTGAAAGCTAAGCTGGTTATGCTAAGCCAGTTACAAAAGGACAGAGTTTATATGATTCCACTTATATGAGGCATCCAGAGTAGTCAAATTCACAGAGACAGAAAGTAAAACGGTGGTTGCCAGGGGCTAGGGGTTTGAGGAATGGGAGTTTGTATTTAATGGATACAAAGTTTCGGTTTGAGACAATGACAATTCTGGAGATGGTTGCTGGTGATAGCTGCACAACAGTGCCAATGTGCTTACTGCCAATGAGCTGTAACTAAAAAAGGGTTTAAAAAATGGCATGCACACACACAAGGACAAATGTGATGGGTCACTTATGTCTCAGAACTAGGAGTGACGTGGAACTGTTTGAGAAGTGGGGGAAGAAATGGGGTCCCCAGTGGATGGGCCTGCTGAGAAATCAGCAAGTAGCCTGGAAATGGGGAGGATTGGTGGACCAGGACAGCAGACTCTTCATCTGACCACAGATAATCCAAAAAAGCTGTAGGGAGTATAGATACCTCCCTCTAAGTAGCATTTGGGTGGAGTTGGAGAGGCAGTCAGCGGGGTGGGTAGGTTGTTCTGGTCTTTTTTTTTTTTTTGAGAGGGAGTCTTGCTCTCTTGCCCAGGCTGGAGTGCAATGGCTCCACCTCAGTTCACTGCAACTTCTGCCTCGTGGGTTCAAGTGATTCTCCTGCCTCAGCCTCCCAAGTAGCTGGGATTACAAGCGTGCATCACCACATCTGGCTAATTTTTGTATTTTCAGTAGAGACGGGGTTTCACCACGTTGACCAGGCTGGTCTCAAACTCCTGACCTCAAGTAATCCCGCCTCAGCTTCCCAAAGTGCTGGGATTACAGGCGTGAGCCACCGCATTGGTCCCTCACCTGTCTCTCTTGTGCCCACCCGCAGCCAGCCCCAGTCGGCGCCATGGCGTCTGCCGAGCCCCTGACGGCGCTGTCCCGCTGGTATCTGTACGCCATCCACGGCTACTTCTGCGAGGTGATGTTCACGGCGGCCTGGGAGTTCGTGGTGAACTTGAACTGGAAGTTCCCAGGGGTCACGAGCGTGTGGGCCCTTTTCATTTACGGCACCTCCATACTCATCGTGGAGCGCATGTACCTGCGGCTGCGCGGCCGCTGCCCGCTGCTCCTGCGCTGCCTCATCTACACGCTCTGGACCTACCTGTGGGAGTTCACCACCGGCTTCATCCTGCGCCAGTTCAACGCCTGCCCCTGGGACTACTCCCAGTTCGACTTTGACTTCATGGGCCTCATCACCCTGGAGTACGCCGTGCCCTGGTTCTGCGGGGCCCTCATCATGGAGCAGTTCATCATCCGCAACACCCTCCGCCTCCGCTTTGACAAGGACGCCGAGCCCGGGGAGCCCAGTGGCGCCCTAGCTCTGGCCAATGGCCACGTCAAGACTGACTGAGTAGGGAGCGGGTGGGGGGCCTGGGGTTCTCTCATGGAACTCATGGACCAAGAGACCAAGCTGGCGAGGTTGCCCCATCCATGCCGCACAAGCCCTGCCTCGGCCAGGCCTCACCCGTGTAGGGCACACACAGCCCCCTAACCTCCGCAGGGGGAGGTGGTCAGGTGTTGGGGGATGGGGTGTGGAGGTCGCAGAGGGACATTTGGAAGGGTCCACGGATCCTAGCCCAGCTCAGAGGCTGGTGCTGGGAGGCCTGTGGCTGAGCAGTGATGGATTATGTAGTTGACTTTGGAAGCAGCAGGCCCTGTCCTGGCTAAGGGACGATGAGAATGGGGCTGCAGGTGGGAGGCAAGGCCTGACCTCCTTCCCTCCCATCTGGATTTAGTTGGGCTTTGGCTGGTTCCATTAGGCAATATTCAGGTGCTTGCTTGCAACCAATACCTCCCCAGGGGCCTGCTGAGCTGCAGCCGAGGAGAGACTGGGCAGCCAGGAGGCTGTGTGGCCGCAATGCTGGTCTGCAAGGGCTGGGAGACCCTTCCTTGGCTCCTCTCCCCTCCCCCAGGGCCCTGCGCTGCTCCCTTGGCCTTCTGGGGCCCCTGTGGTGCTGGATTCCCACCAACCTTGGGCTTTTGGAGGTTTCAATCCCCGTGTGTTGGGTGGCTTTTTTTTCCCCCTTTTCTCGCTTGTTTTCAAGGCCTTTACCGCTAGCGGCTCTTTATCCATGTTGGTCACCACACCTGCCCCATCCCAGCTCCCTAGACAGCACAGGAGCTGGAGATGGAGCCCTGAGACACCCCCAACTCCCACCCCTTGCAGCTTTCCCTCCACTGTCCCCGCTGGCCTGATGCCTGGGGAGTTCCTGAGTTGCGCCTCCCTGCCCCTGGTCTAGTAGGCTGGGGTAGTGCTCCCTTCTCATAGTGGTCCAGCTGAGAATTAACGATGCCCTCCAATGGACAAGCAGGCTGGGATAGGCCCTGTGGATCCACAATGGGGACCTAGAGGCAATCAGTTTGGTGGGGAAAAGGTAGAGTTCTAGGTCATCTATGCCCTGGCTGGTTTATGTTCAAGCCAGAACTGAGCAGTCGAGCTCTCTATGGGATAGAGGAGCCAGGTATTCTAGCATTGGAGACTGATGGAGAATGAGAAGAAGAAAGAGAGGAGGACCTTGTGGCTGTAGAAGGCTCTTGGAGCCTCCTTTATGGCAGGGTATCAGTTCTAGTTCTGCCATAGCCCCAGCCCTGTAGCAAAACCTCAGGGCTGCCCCTCTCCCCAAACTCCTCCCAACAAGGCTGATCCTTTGAGCTTACTCCTTCAATAGTATTAACCCTGCCACACTCATGGGCATTGGCACCTTGGCTTCCCTGCCCCACTTTGCCCAATGACAGGTCCATTGCTGGCAGTGGACAGGTGACATACTGCAGCCTACTTGGCTCTGACCTTCACTCCCCAAGGGGAGGGGTCCATTAGAAAGTGGCCCATCCCATGGTACATGGTCTCTTCTTCACCACACTAGGACTCTTAGGTAGCAATTAGCCTTTCCCTTTTTATGGATCATTACAAAGTGATGGTAACACTTGTGGAGAGAATGTCCTCTTCCCTGCTGGCTGTCCTGCCCAGACTGTGCAGATAGCATGACCCACGTTGCAGGGTGTGGTGGGGTGGGCCACAGTTGTGTCCTAGGTCTGGAGAAAAGCGTGCAGACTCTGCCTTTGGCAGGATTTTCTGCAGTTAGCCCTGTCCAGAGCAGAATGAAGGGTATTTCCTAGCCTATTTCCTGGGCAGGCTCCTCAAATCCAGGGATTAACTACTTTCTTCAGGGGCCAGCCCTCCTTTTGATTGTATTTTGGCCCCAGTTCCAAGGCTTTAGGGTTACAGAGAATCAGGCTTCTGGTGAAAGTAGATTGTTTTCCATCCATAGGTGGAGAGATTCCAGGAGGAGAATGTTGTCTGGCTTCCCTGTTCTCTCTGGGCAATTGTCTCCTTGGTTCTCTCCCCAACTCCATGTTGTCTCAGTCTCCCAGCACCCCTTCAGGCCTTCCATGTGGGCTCCTAGACCCCACTACCCATCTTTACACCCCCATTCCACAACTGAGTCCAGTGACCAGCTATTCTCAGCCAGAGCAAGCCCTTGAATGGTCTACCGGGTCTTGCTGCTCCAGATGTTGCCTTGTGGGCATTCCCTGGCACATTTACTCTCTGGGTCCTATAAACTCCCAAGTGCAGGAGGTCTTGAGGTACACCTGTGTGCCTGGCAACATCCAGCATTGTGTTTCTGCTCCATCTAGGTGTCCCATTGCTCCAACTACCCTTCATAGGGCATCAAACCTCCAGCAAAGGAAGGCAACAACCCATGACCTGACCACAGGATCTATGGGTTCAGATCTCACCAGGGATAGCCCAGACTTCAACTCTTGCTTTTCTGGGTGTCAGGGCTCCAATCCCTTAGTGCCCAGGGACTCAAAGTTTGGAATAATCCCAGCCCTGCCAAGCATTAAGGGTGCTGGTGGGGAGTACTTACCTGCTGTTCGTGAACCTCTGGTGTCCTGGGCCTCTCTCCACTGGACATGGCAGCGTCTCTGAGTTACAGATTGCAATGTGCTGCCCTGCATGGTTGAACTGCTTCTGATGTCTGCGAGGCATCCTGTCCCATGTGCCCTGTCCCCTCTTCAATGCCAGTGAGTTACAATGGCCTATGCTTATTCACAGCAATAATATCTAGGGAGCGCCCATGAGGCCCTTTTGTCCTGGTCCCTCACTCTGCATGGGTCTCTTGGGGAGGCAGCTGCTGAGTGGGTCAGTTCATGAGAACCTGCATTTATGAAGCCCTGGACTGTGCAGGCATTACCCTGGGATGCAGACAGGTGAGAGGCCCAGCCCTTAGAGAAGCCATGGCAGGGAGCATGCCTTCTACCCTGGGGCCAACCAGACCTGGAGGAGCTGCAGGCCCCAGCTCTGCTAAAGGGCCTTTAAAGTGGGTGGGACCATCTCCCAGCTGGGCAGCTCTTGAGAAGGACATAAGACGGTTTGTGTGCCCATTGCCTGCTCTGTGTCTCCATTGGTCCCTCTGTCTCTTCCTTTTCACATTTGTGCACATAAAATATACTGGTGTTTGTGTTCCGAGACTGGCTCTGGCCCATCTGTTTTTCATCTTTTGGAACCACTTTTCAGGGGCTGCTGGGCGCGAGGCCTTTGCACCCTGGCATCGTGCCCTCCTGAACCAAGAGGGCTGCTGGGTGGGTCCACCTCGTGGAGGGGGCAGGTGACACTCCCTGCCAATCCTTCTTACTGTCCCTGCTCTGACACTGTCTGGTAACCTGAAATCACCCACTGAGCCCAATTCTCAGGTGGCATAATGTGATCCAGGCCTTACTTTGGTCCCATGCCCCCAGGCAGAGGGCAATCCCAGGCAGTATACAGGTTGGCTGCACTTGCCCATGAGACGAGCTCCTCCTGGAAACATCAGCCATGACCTGGGACATCTCATGGGGCAGGAGGGACCCCCAAAGACATAGAAGGCCGGAGCCCTTAACTTTGTATTACATTGCAAGTCATGTTTTGAAGAAATAGCTCTGCACTCCTATCTGGCAGCCCTGCTTTTTCTGAGAAGTGCATTTGGAGGGAGTAATCTCTCTCCCTTTATGTGCCTCTGCTCCATTGAGCTTCCCTGCCTCCCACCACCACCAAGCCACTGCCCACTTTCCTACTTCCAGGAAGAGGATGGAGGATTCCTAAGTTGCTCAGTCAGGCCAGGCATGGTGGCTCACACCTGTAATCCCAGCACTTTGAGAGGCTGAGGTAGGAGGATTACTTGAGCCCAGGAGTTTGAGGCCAGCCTGGGCAACATAAAGAGATCACCATGTCTCCAAAAGAAAAAAAAATTAGCCAGGCATGGTGATACACGCCTATAATTCCAGATACTAGGGAGCCTGAATAAGGAGGATCACATGAGCCCAGGAGTTGGAGGTTGCAGTGAGCCATGATTGCACCACTGTACTCTGGGTGACAGAGTGAGACCGTGTCTTGAAGTCGCTCAGTCATTTCAGCAAACACAAATGGCCTGGGCCCCCTGTCGCAGCTGGGTTATAGAACACCCACTGCTTTTCTGGATGGAGTAGGTGGTGAGCTTTCTAAATCATTGGGAAGGCCCTCTGCCTCCCTCATTCACTTGAAGGTTTTCATTTCTTTGAAAGCTTTTTCCCTTTTGAAAATGAGCTAGCATAAATCTCCAGCAGTCATTTACATGTTAGCATAAACAAATGTATAAGATAGTTCCATTAGAACAAGATTTTATAGAAAGAGGCAAGCAAAGTGAAACAGGGTCTCCTTTATGGAGCTTCAGAGAAGAAGCGAGAGGCAAGTCCCTTGCTTGCGAGAAGACTGAGAGAGGCTGAGACTCCCCCCACCTCCAGGCTTTTTTTAGACGGAATCTTGCTTTGTCACCCAGGCTGGAGTTCAGTGGTGCAGTCTCAGCTCGCTGCAATCTCCATCTCCCAGGTTCAAGTGATTCTCCTCAGCCTCCCCAGTAGCTGGGATGATAGTTGCATGGCACCACTCTTGGCTAATTTTTGTATCTTTAGTAGAGAGGAGGTTTTGCTATGTTGGTCAGGCTGGTCTCGAACCCCTGACCTCAGGTGATCCACCTGCCTCAGCCTCCCAAAGTGCCATCTACTTCTCCACTCTACTCAGTGGGTGCCTGCCTTCCCTGCACTTCCTCACCTTCTCCGCCCTTCCCTCACCCAATCCAAAGGGCACTAACAACACTTGTTGAGAGAAATGCCCCAGGAGAGCTAACACTAAGCGCTTTGGCCACATCTTCTGAAGTCTGCCTGGAGGTTGTGAAAGCCTAATGTTTACTGACAGTGAGTACATGACCGTAGCCTTCCCTGGTCTTCCTGGGTGCCTATCTGAGAAGGGTGCAATGTTTACCCTGCCCTGGTACAACTAAGGGAGGGAAACAGAGGAAAAGGGAGTGACTGATTCCTTACACAGCAGATTAGAGCAGACAGGTTTTAAAAATTAAAACACTGGCCAGGCATGGTGGCTCACGCCTATATCTCAGCACTCTGGGAGGCCGAGGCAGGTGGATCACCTGAGGTTAGGAGTTTGAGACCAGCCTGGCCAACATAGTGAAACCCCATCTCTACTGAAAATCCAAAAATTAGTTGGGTTTGGTAGCATGTGCCTGTAATCCTAGCTAATCGGGAGGCTGAGGCAGGAAAATAGCTTGAACTCAGAAGGCGGAGGTTGCAGTGAGCCGAGATCACACCATTGTACTCCAGCCTGGGCAACATGTTGGCCAAGCTGGTCTCGAACTCCTGACCTCAGGTGATCCACCCATCTCGGCCTCCCAAAGTGCTGGGATTACAGGTGTGAGCCACTGCACCCAGCCCGGGCCAGAATCTTATTGTCCAGAAATGCAGACATTTACTGTACCCTTCAAGGTGCCTAGCTGGATACAGTGCCGAACGAAGCAAGCACGTAGTGGGTGCTTTAAGAAACTCTTGATGAGTGGCGTTTTAGTGAACCACCCTCGAGGCCAGGCTGAGTGTTCCAGAACACCAGTCGCTTTCGAACTTGAAGCTAGGAATCCGGAATCTATTTAGACGACAACCATCCCCACCATTTCTGTGCCCACCACCATAGAGCACTCACTGTCCTCCTCCCTCTTTCCAAACCATTAATCCCTGCAGAGTCCTGCCAACATTTCCCTCTTAGAGTCTTCTGGCCTTGGCCAAAGACCCAGCTGATCTGTCTGTTGTTTCATTCTGGTTACATACTTTCTTGGTTTGGGCAAAGGTGGCCTTTTAGTGCCAAACAGTACAGAGAAGGAGATCCACAGATGATATAGTCTGGCTGTTTGCCTCTGTCACAATTACAGCTTCTAAACAGAAAGGAAGTTATCTGGTTTAGAAGGGTCCACCGAATGGCAAAGGGTCCTGGAAGCTTCTTAGTGAGAGTATGGGGTCGTATTAGTGTCCTAGGACTGCTGAAACAAATTACCACAAAATGACTAGCTGGAAACAATGGAACTGTATTCTCTCACACTTCTGGAATGCAGAAGTCAGATTAAAGCATCAGCAGGCTGCATCTCTTCTGAGGCTTTAGGGGAGGATCCTGCCTTGCCTCTTCCAGTCTCTGGTGGCTGCCAACAATCCTTGGCTTCCTAGGCATCATACCCATTTCTGCCATTGTGGTCACATGGCCTCCTTCTTCTCTGTCTCTTAAAAGGACACTTACCATTGCAGGTAGGGCCCATGCAGGTAATCCAGGATGATCTCATCTTAAGATCCTTAATTACATCTGCAAAGACCCCTTTTCAAAATAAGGTAACACTCATAGGTTCAGGGGGTTTGGACATGCCTACATCTTTTGGGTGGGCCATCATTCAACCCAGTATAGGGGTCAAGGAGCAGGTTTCTGCTGAAACCCTTGCATTTTTGTACCCACTTAGGAATTCCATGAGGAGAGCTGGAAGCACAGTGTGTGGTCATCTGGGAGGGAGCGTAAGGATTTAGGTTAAGGATGTAGTTCTGCATCCCAAGATAGACCTTTAGCTGCTGCGAAGTTTCTGTTTAGATGCAGATCTGACTGTTTCACTCCCTACTTCAGACTTTAATGATTTCCCATTACCCTGAGGATCAAGCTCGACACCTTAGCGAGGCTTACAAACCCTTTGTGGTTTGGCCTCACTTCTCGCCTCTGCCCCAGCCCTGTGCCAACTAGGGAGACTGACTTGTAGTTCTCCCTGTGGCTCCCACTTATGGCCTCTGGGCCTTCAGCCCCTGTTTCCTCTCCCTGGAACACTCTTTCTCCTCTTAGCCCAACTGGAGACTGATGAGCTCACTTAAAGCAGGCAACATTAGTTTCTGTTTCTGTGGAGCTCCCACTCACCCTGCTCTCAGTTTACAAACCCAGCCCTGGTGCCTGGAAGTCCTGTGTGCCAGTCACCAGCAGAGTGGCTACGTTCTTCCAGTGTGGTCAACGCAGCTGACTTTGGGCATCCATTCACCTGCTGAGCACCAGGGCCTGCCTGTGCCAGGTCTGCAGGACAAGTGGGAGCAAGACAGACTCCTGTGCCCTTGCTGTGGGGTGACTTCATTGGAATTCCAGGGTGCTGAGAACTCCGACAGCTCTCTGTTAGGGAAAGAGGGATTAACCCAGATCGAGGAGGGGAGATCAGGAAATATTTCTGTGTCTGATTTAGCCAGGGTGGGGTGAAGCGGGAGGTGAGGTGAAGAGCGGGCACTCCAGGTTGAAAGCACAGCATGTGTGAAGGCCGAGAACACACAGAGAGCAGGCGAATTTGCGGGTGTGCAGCAGTTCCCAGCAGTGAACAGTGGAGTCCACAGAAGCTAGGCCCACCAGCCCAGAAATCTCTCATAAACCAAGGCAGGGAAGCACAGATAATAAGCAACTAGACAAGAAAATAACAGATCGTGACACATGAAAACAGGGTGGTGTGCAAATGAATAGGGAGCTCCTCTAGACTGAGTAGCCCCAAAAGGTCTGCAGGAAGCCTAGATTGTGATGAGAGTCCCCCTCTGAAGGTGCGGGGAGAATGCTTTGTGCAGATGAAACAGCTGGTGCAAAAGCCAAAGACAGAAATGAGCTGGAAGAGTTTGAGGTACAGATAAAAGGCTGGTGTGGCTGGAGCATGGTGAGGGAGATGGTGAGGAGGAGTATAGGATGCGGGTGACAGAAGCAGGCAGGGGTCAGAGACTGTAGGGCGCTGGAGGGTGGGCCCAGGGGGACAGAGGGTGATGGATGAGTGCTTTTAAGGGAGACCTGTGGGGCGTCACCCAGCCGCTTCCAGGGAATTCCTCCTGAGGAGTGCGGAACAGGCCAGGAGACGCTGCAAGAAGAGCCTGGGTCCCAGGTACCTCCATCCTGTTCTCTCAGAGGCCATGGATTGGGATCAGCAGGACTGGAAATATGGATTTGTACCTGCTACATAAGCACTCCTACCCTGGGATAGATTGCACCAGGCCGTGTGGTGCAGGACTGCTCTCTCTCTCTCTCTCTCTCTCTCTCACACACACACACACACACACACACACACACACCCTGCACCACTTCATGTACCCTAACTTCTGTGAGCTGGGCCTGTCGAGGCCCTCCTG